GATATTGAACTGAAATACATTGTTACTGGATATGAAACTGAAATACATTGTTACTGGATATTGAACTGAAATACATTGTTACTGGATATGAAACTGAAATACATTGTTACTGGATATGAAACTGAAATACATTGTTACTGGATATGAAACTGAAATACATTGTTACTGGATATTGAACTGAAATTAGAGTCCGTTTTTTCAAGTTTTCAAAATTTGAAATTTTATCACGAAAAAGTTATTACTGTCATCTCATTTTCTTGCCCTCTAGTGAGCACAGTCACGTGTAACTTTGTATATTTGGAGTTTTATGTCAAATAGTTAACATTTCAAAATGTTTGTTTAAATTTCGAAGATAAGCTTCCAAAGAGAACGATTTTTCTATTGAAGAGAGAAATATAGAAATATTTTATACTTGCAGGTTCTATATACATAATTTATTACATTAATGAGTTCTTAAGAAAATGTAACAACTACCAAACACAAAATCACATTGTTCAACTTCTTCAAGTCAGACATTTGTTGTTGTATCCTTCTCTAGGTTTTCTCCACGGAGATGTCTTGAGTTCATGTATTATTAGCTGCGTTAAAGACTCCACGGAGATTGTCTCGAGTTCATGTATTATTAGCTGTTTTACAGACTCCACGGAGAAGTTTTGGGTTCATATATTATTAACTGTGTTAAAGACTCCACGGGGAAGTCTTGCGTTCATGTATTATTAGCTGTTTTATAGACTCCACGGAGATGTCTTGGGTTCATGTATTATTAACTGTTTTATAGACTCCACGGAGATGTCTTGGGTGCATGTATTATTAATTGTGTTATAGACTCCACGGATAAGTCTTGGGTTCATGTATTATTAACTGTGTTATAGACTCCACGGATAAGTCTTGGGTTCATGTATTATTAACTGTTTTATAGACTCCACGGAGATGTCTTGGGTGCATGTTTTATTAATTGTGTTATAGACTCCACGGATAAGTCTTGGGTTCATGTATTATTAACTATGTTATAGACTCCACGGAGATGTCTTGGGGTCTTCTTACTATCAAACTTCTTCTTAGTTAGTGAAAAATAATAAAGAGTTATCATTTAAATCCACAGTATGGGTCTTCTTACTAACAACCTTCTAGAAGAATTTTTCTCCAGTGCTTCTGGTTTGGAGTTGAGAACCGTAGTTCATCTTCATTTTCAGTATTTGGTAAAAGGCTTCACAAAAGGTGAGTATGTAAACCTTAGAACTCTGAAAACTTTTAAGTTCTGAGCTTTATATGTGTAGTTTACATTGCAGTAGTTCTAAATTTCATATGTGTAATTTACATTAGAACAGTTCTAAGTTTCGTATGTATAATTTACATAAGAACAGTTCTAAGTTCCATATGTGTAACTTACATTAGTACAGTTCTAAGTTCCATGTGTGTACTTTACATTAGAACAGTTCTAAGTTCCATGTATGTAATTTACATTAGAACAGTTCTAAGTTCCATATGTGTAACTTACATTAGTACAGTTCTAAGTTCCATGTGTGTACTTTACATTAGAACAGTTCTAAGTTCCATGTGTGTACTTTACATTAGAACAGTTCTAAGTTCCATGTGTGTACTTTACATTAGAACAGTTCTAAGTTCCATATGTGTAACTTACATTAGTACAGTTCTAAGTTCCATGTATGTAATTTACATTAGAACAGTTCTAAGTTCCATATGTGTAACTTATATTAGAACAGTTCTAAGCTACACTGGATAATTTCCTTTCGTATTCGTGACTTATTTGGAAATACAATAAACGTGATGATATAATTATGTAACATGTGACTTTCTGAGGCTATCTCTCGTGTAGTGGCATGGAGGTCGGTAGTAACGTGGCTTTGGAGTCATGAACTTTGACAATGTGCTTTTTAGAAAAAAAAAAAAGGTCCTGTTAGAAATTTTCCAACATAACTTCAGGCAAGGTGAAATATTACCAGTCATGCTTGGTTTATAACTGAGCATTTCTAGAGGTAGTGTTTATTGAAGTCATAGTTTCACAACCAGAAACATACCGGTTTACATCAGGCAATAATTTTCTTAACTTATTTTCGAGCAAGTTCCGCTTTCGTCGGTGGATCCAGATCAATTACATGAGATACTATCCGATAAAAGAGGATGTATATATTGAGAGAAGCAACTGTAGCGTGGTGCACTCACTTGTACACATCCTGCTTCGGAAAGAAAGAGATCCTAGGTGTGTATTTATTAATGAATATTGCGGAAGGAAATCAAAGTGATAAAAAAATGTAAATAAAATCTATTAAAAAATTTTACACATTTTACAAATTTTACACTGCTGTATTGATTAGTGAAATCTGCAGCTTACAGGCTTCTGGTATACACTTTGAAACCTTTAGAGCTGGTGGTTTTGAAAATCGTGAGACTGAAACCGTGTTTTGTTCGGTGCCACTCTGCTGTTTAGTGAAATATGTGGATTACAAACTTCAGATTACACATTCTTGCTTCTTTTGAAACCTTTAGAGCTGGTGTTTGAAAATCGTGAGACTGAAACCGTGTTTTGTTCGGTGCCACTCTGTTGTTTAGTGAGATATGTGGATTACAAACTTCAGATTACACATTCTTGCTTCTTTTGAAACCTTTAGAGCTGGTGTTTGAAAATCGTGAGATTGAAACCGTGTTAAATGCCACGGTGTTAAAGAGCTATAAATAATAACAAATGTACATTTTCTCTGTCTCTTTTAATATATCTTGAAGATAAATTTATCTACAAACTTGAAGAGCTTAGCTTATGTACCACAGTAATTTTGTAACATATTGACAACACACGTGCCATCTAAGACCAGGGTAACTAAATACACTATCGTATAGACCACGAAAAATGGAACATGAGATGTCCAGAACAAATGTATTTTGTGTTATGATATTTTAACAGCAAATAAAGTAACAAATGAAGCGTATATTTCTCATTTGAATTTTTACAGTTTCATTACTTTGTGCTGAAAAGAAACTTGTCAATAACATACTTTCGTGCTGAAAAGAAACTTGTCAATAACGTACTTTCGTGCTGAAAAGAAACTTGTCAATAACATACTTTGGTGCTGAAAAGAAACTTGTCAATAACGTACTTTCGTGCTGAAAAGAAACTTGTCAATAACGTAATTTCGTGCTGAAAAGAAACTTGTCAATAACGTACTTTCGTGCTGAAAAGAACTTGTCAATAACGTACTTTCGTGCAGAAAAGAAACTTGTCAATAACATACTTTCGTGCTGAAAATAAACTTGTCAATAACATACTTTCGTGCTGAAAATAAACTTGTCAATAACGTACTTTCGTGCTAAAAGAAACTTGTCAATAATGTACTTTCGTGCTGAAAAGAAACTTGTCAATAACATACTTTCGTGCTGAAAAGAAACTTGTCAATAAGATACTTTTCAACTTAAAGATAGTGCAAATAGCCATAGCTTTTAAGTTTTTGTCTAATAGCCTAAACCAATTTTCTAAAAAGAGTAACAGACGTTAATAAAAGCAATAACATAATAGTCTATGTACAAACTATTTTTTTTCATAATCACACATCACCAGTAAACATCAAATTTAACAGTCAAGGTATGGCGATGCAACTGCACAGCATAAAAGGCACATGAAATCATTCTTTTTTCGATCACTTTTCTCTCTCTCTCTCTTTTCTGAGGGTTTCATCTCCTAATCTTTAATTCCACCATTTATTCGCTGTCTTTCCTTTTCTCTCTCTCTTCTTTCTCTTGTCTCCTCAGCACTATCTTCTTCTTTCTTTCGTGCATTAATTTTTTTTACTGCTAGTCTTTCATAGCCTATCTCTTTCTTTGCCTTCTTTTTCCATCGTCTTTTTTCTCTCTTTTCAAAATCTCCAGAAGCAGCATCCTCCATTTTCCCTCTTTTTTTTCCTTAATCTTTTCCTTCATTTACCCCGAACATCCTCAAATCTCATTATTTAAGTCATTCCTCATTTTCCTCTTTTCAATACGCAGTTTTTCTGTCTCTTGTTTAATTAGGTTTACAACATAACAATTTTGACTTATTTCTAAACTTCAGTAGGCGCACTATGCCAAGAATTCATATTTAATCACAACTGAAACATTGCAAAACTATACGTTTTATAGTTAATAGGAAAACATAGATATTCAAATTTATAAAATACATCAAAACGGTCTTAAATAAAAGTAAGCGATAGAGGCCAAATGTCAAGTCTCTGTAAGCAAATTCACTCGCAATGTAAAGTAAATGTTCTATTGTCATAATTTATGAATGAAGAGAAGTAATAGCAAATAATACAGTTCAATGTTTAAATAATAAATCATTTCTACAGGTCACGCCATCTGTTGCCTTTGTTCTTTACTAGTATGCTTGTGACGATTTCTAACCCAGACATATTTATAGTTTTGTAGACATCATAATACTACAAAATACAAGTTATTTAGCTGCACACAAACAGCCTAGCCTAACACTAACATGCTCAGAAATAAAATAACAAACACGTTTCTCACAACCTCAATGTTAAGTTGATTTAAACGGTACTTGCATTTTCAAATCCACAAACTTAAACAAAATGGTGGCCATCATGCCTTTCAGTGCATACCTTCAACCCTTTAGTTCCCAAAAACAGGAAAGTTATATTTCGTGTATTAGATTTGCTACGCCAGTACTTACTCTATTACAAATAGGCTTAATAACAAACAACAGATAGGTGACTCTGAATACCAGTGACGGAAGAAACAAGTCACAAGCAAAAAAATCTCATTCCCTCACAAATCGTTTCCATAAACAATCAATATGGGCGTTTCCGAATATTTCCAATAGCACTCTTCATACGTAACATGTATTTCCAATACCACTCTTCACACGTAACATGTATTTCCAATACCACTCTTCACACGTAACATGTATTTCCAATACCACTCTTCACACGTAACATGTAATTCCAATACCACTCTTCACACGTAACATGTATGTCCAATAGCACTCTTCACACGTAACATGTATTTCCAATAGCACTCTTCACACGTAACATGTATTTCCAATAGCACTCTTCACACGTAACATGTATTTCCAATACCACTCTTCATACGTAACATGTATTTCCAACAGCACTCTTCACACGTAACATGTATTTTCAATAGCACTCTTCACACGTAACATGTATTTCCAATAGCACTCTTCACACGTAACATGTATTTCCAATAGCACTCTTCATACGTAACATGTATTTCCAATAGCACTCCTCATACGTAACATGTATTTCCAATAGCACTCTTCATACGTAACATGTATTTCCAATAGCACTCTTCATACTTAACATGTATTTCCAATAGCACTCTTCATACGTAACATGGTGTCGTAGCAATGACGTAATACAGAGCCGATATTTCCTTTCTTTAAAGTAACATTGGACTTTAAAAAAACATATGACGAACACAGCTTTAAAAACAAATAGGCCACAAATCCTACGAAACAATATAAATCGTATTAACAGGAAATACGTTCGACACGTCACTTGGCAATTTTGGCAGTCTTATTCTTAACATTTATATGCTATCACAAGTATAAAGTCACTTATTTATAAAGAGCACTGAACCTTATACCTAAGATTTCACGATCCAGACAGCACGAAATATATTTTGTTTTTAGCGGGAGGTCCTTATCTTTTTTAGAATTGAAATTCTACAAGAACTTAACTGTTTTTGACGTTTCATTGTTAAACTTTATCTAGATCAGTATTTTATAAATAAAGAGAAAATAATTCTTCAGAATCAGTATATAACATAAGAGTAGTATTTATACTTGAACAAACTCAGAAAAATATTCTTATTACAAAACTTTGAAGAAGTCTAACTAATAAGTGAATTTTGACATTTTGTGTGTAATGTTATGAGCTACCGTACAAAATGATCCGAGTAGAAAAAACAACTCTTGTCATTACCTCACATTTAGCTAAATAAACTGTTTACTCTGTTCAAAGAAAAAAAGATTGTTCTGACCAAGTTATTATAAGTTATCCATATAAACTCCAAAGACCAAGAGATAATAGACTGTTCTAACCACAGTGTTATAAGTTATCCATATAACATCCAAAGACCAAGAAATAATAGACTGTTCTAACCACAGTGTTATAAGTTATCCATATAAACTCCAAAGACCAAGAAATAATAGACTGTTCTAACCAAGTTGTTATAAGTTATCCATATAAACTCCAAAGACCAAGAGATAATAGACTGTTCTAACCATAGTGTTATAAGTTATCCATATAAACTCTAAAAGCCAAGAAATAATAGATTGTTCTAACCAAGTTGTTATAAGTTATTCATATAATCTCCAGAGACCAAGAAATAATAGATTGTTCTAACCAAGTTGTTATAAGTTATCCATATAAACTCCAAAGACCAAGAAATAATAGATTGTTCTAACCAAGTTGTTATAAGTTATCCATATAAACTCTAAAAGCCAAGAAATAATAGATTGTTCTAACCAAGTTGTTATAAGTTATCCATATAAACTCTAAAAGCCAAGAAATAATAGTGTTTTACAGGTCTGACATTTCAGCTAAGATACATTCCTAAAGATATAACGTTCAGACTAAACAAAAGCTCTGACATTACGATCAATCATTTTATCTGATCTACTGATTCAGCTCTAAATTATTTTTATCTGTGTTCGTTTATTGCCCCCAGTAAACCTTCAATGCTGTATATACAGTTATTTTTATAAGAAGTCGAGATATCGTCTGCTTTCTTTATCACAATATTTTTGTGCATTTACAGCTTCTTAGATATTGGTAAAGAAAACGTATTAGCTGTTAAATAGTTGTAGCTTAAATCTCCATTTCGAAAGCTTGTAAAATGCTGCTTGATACATTTTAGGCTTGGTTGTTGTTGTTTTTGTCAGTCTTTATAAGTATTCATCAAAAAACAATCACGTCAACTTTTGGAGGTTGCTAAATATCAGCATAACCAATAAAATTAAAAGTTGCAAAACCATAGAATAATCATACAATTAAAAGCGTATGCAAAGCTCCACGTAAAATTAGTATATACAGATACTTATAAAATCCTCTCATATTCTGCTTTTCTGTTCAGATTTGTGATGAGCTTATTTGATTGTCCTCTTCTGGAAATGGTTTATTCTTTTAATGGAAATCAACCTGGGTTGTCAACATTTTAAACTAAATCTCATGCAGGTAATCTGAAAAATGTAAACAAGAATTAGTTAATAAAACCGAAGTTATGTGTTGTAGGCTATGTTTTGTAATTCTGATATTTGTACTGTTTTTGGGAAAAAAAAAAAAGAGTTTTTATGTCACGTGATAAGTGCGTAGCTTAATGACTAAAATTTGTTTGAGAGTTTTAACAAACAATTTGAGAGATACAAGATGGGATTAAGGCTTAGTCGGTTTAGTAAGTAGGTTACAGTGGTTGAATGACTGTCGAATTAACGAGTTTGTTAGTCGGTTTAGTAAGTAGGTTACAGTGGTTGAATAACTGATGGATTAACGAGTTTGTTAGTCGGTTTAGTAAATAGGTTACAGTGGTTGAATGACTGTCGAATTAACGAGTTTGTTAATCGGTTTAGTAAGTAGGTTACAGTAGTTGAATGACTGATGGATTAACGAGTTTGTTAGTCGGTTTAGTAAGTAGGTTACAGTGGTTGAATGACTGATGGATTAACGAGTTTGTTAGTCGGTTTAGTAAGTAGGTTACAGTGGTTGAATAACTGATGGATTAACGAGTTTGTTAGTCGGTTTAGTAAGTAGGTTACAGTGGTTGAATAACTGATGGATTAACGAGTTTGTTAGTCGGTTTAGTAAGTAGATATGGATAAACTGTGTGCACGAGAAAGTTATCAAATAAATAAATGATTGTGAAGTTAGGCTTATCGTTAGTTCCTGAAATTATGTAAGTTTATAACTCGTAGTCCAAGATATAAAACGGCTTTATCATCAAGTGAACAGGACTATGCATTATTTTTCACCAAAAGAACCCGCCCAACAATAGAAACCGTTGTATTAATACTTCGTGCCAACAAATGTCAATAATCTGTAATATAAAAAGAAAAAATTAAAACCACACTCCTGAGATGGTCCCAATGTGGATTTTGTAGACTATCGGGAACTTAAGAAACTTTGTGCTAGGACTAACGAGACAGCCTTGATTACTATCTTACAGGTGAGCATACAAATAAAAATACATCATTTCAGTAACAGTCTGAATTAAAACTAACGGGCCAGTGAGAAACCCATTAGATCATCCAGTTCCTTCGGCTTTCCTGATAAAGATGGTCTCCATGTTTTATTTCGACGTCTGTCTCTTAACTTAGATTCTTTTTCTTCTAGAAGAAAAAAAACACACAGAATATTTTAAGCACATTTCAACTAGACTAAGAAAATATAATATCGTATTTCAAGTAAAACGTACAGTGCAGTATTCGATACCTATGGTGAGCACAGTACAGATAGCCCATTTGTGCTTAACGAGAAATAAACAAAGAAGCAAATATTTGCTGACAAAAAGAATTCTTAGAAAAACTTTCAAACCTTTTATAGAAGTATCACTTTCACTGTTTCTACGGCGATCAAGTTTCGGTGACCCAACGTGAATAAGTGATTTACGTCTTTGGGTTGTTTTCAATGACGGTAGAACTCCGTTTCTCGACATCAGCCCATTAGCCTATTATAAATATTTGACTAACTACAGTAATCACAACTTTGAAACAAGATATAAAAAGGTACAAAACTACAGTCGTTAAAGTAACCTATACATATAAGAGTAAAAAATAAAAAAGGTTTGTTTGTCTGTCCGTGAACTACTCCATGTGGTCAGGCAATAACGTCCCTAATTTTGAAGTGTGGACCAGCACACACACACGCACCCGCCTGAAGCCTCTACGCTTAACCGAATAACAAGATTGCTGTCACTATTATAACGCAGCCACAGTTAGAAGTGCGATGCATCAACCAATAGGCCACGCTCGAGTCCCTTCTCTGAAGGTGGTCGTGCTAAAAGAGAGGCTTCACTTTTAAGGTTTTGTTGCAAATTATTGAAAATGTGACTTCATAATTGAACAAATAAGTTTCCACAATTCTTAATTATGTAATTGAGATATCCCAAATGTCATGCAAGTGTTAAAATATTGGGTAAAGCAAGGGAAACTGAAATATTGTTATTTGGTAAACATAATCAGACATGATGAACCCTTAACTGAGCGTTTATTTATGAAGTTCCTGAATTATCGAGGTAATTACTGCATTAAACCACCCAGATAACTTCACGTTTCAACATTGGTGGTGGGGTTGGGTGGGGGGTATATACACATTCTCAACTCTTCAGTCTCTGGCACATCTGGTCGTTTCTGCTAGAACGCTAAAACAATACCACACCAAACAAAAATTCATAGATAAAATATTATGTGTCATAAGACCATATCCACAATCTCGATTATTCGCACAGCATAAACTTGGATTCTTATTGAAACTAAGCAACAAGAAAAATACTTAATATTTGCGATAAAAATGACGTAAATCGCAGGTGGTTTTTGTTTTCCACACACCTCTTAAAATTTTGTCCATTTTTGGATTCAGAATCAGTGACGCGTAAAAATACTATTTCAAATCTATCTTTTGACTCCTACAAATTATTGATCAAGAGAACTGGTCAGTTTGGCTGGAAGATGACAGTGAAAAGGTTCTGTGAAAAGCTATTGTTATAACCTATATTTTTAATGTTGCAATTTTCTGTTAGCTAGAGGGCGCATGACGCTAAAAGCAAGTAAGTTTGTAAGAGTAGCTCTAGAATACTCTAAATTGACGTCACGAAAACCTAGTGACTTTGGGAAATATCTAGAACAAGGATTATATATAAATACCGGTCAATATAGTAAGTAAGCTTGCAGTGAAACAGTGAAGCATCAAGAAGGTAGCAAGTTGTTTTGGATCAGTTTGTGTGTGAACGTTTTTGGATCTGTGTTAGGTATTGCGTATATCGAGTTACATTATATAAGTAAGTTTATTTTTACGTCAGTGTTGTGCAAGTAGCGTGGTTGTTAACATAGAGCTACAACAAGTTACAAATTGTACAAAAAAATGTATAAAGGAAAATTAAAAAAGATGCAGTCGTCTTCCTTACTTCCTTTCCAAAACTAAAACTGGAACTTCTGCTCCTACCATATCTGGTTTCAGGAGGGGAGCTTTCAGTTGAGCTACAGGACCTATAATAAGATCAACCAATCAAAATCATTATTATAACAATATAAATGTTTTATCTAATCAACCAATTAAACATACATTTATATAAGTATAAACTATTTCTTTGTTAATTAAGATTTTAGATAGTCATGAATAAAAAGATAAAAGAAATCATGTTAATGGTGTGTGTGTGTGTATATATATATATATATATAT